TCACAGACTTACTTTACTGCGCCTCGTGCGCCATTTTTTGTTCTGACCAAATTCTGACGTCAACTGTCATCACTGAGCAGACGCTCGGCAACATGGAATTACAAAACAGACGCACAGCATCATGAAATCTATTTGTCACTCGTTAAAGTGCAAATAAACTTCTTATCAGTGCCGAAGTCAGGAATTGGTAAAATCTTCTCGAAACTCAGCCCGAAGAGATATCCTCTGGTTACTCCTTTTTCTCTTTCTTTTCATTTGGAGTTTTAAAGACAAATTCGCTCACACGCTTTCGCGGTATCGTTTAAACCATTTTAATGGTAATCTTAAGAGGATTATCTTAAGACTTTAAGGGGTTACAAATTATACTTTATGGGTGGCGGAGAGACCCAAGTTCTACTGACTCCGGATCCGTCTTGGATTAACTTACATCCTCAATATTTAAACTCCAAGCTTCAGAAATTCGGAATCCGAACTTTAAAAGCTTGTATTTCAATCAGTCTACTTTCCTCAGGTAAAAAAAGTTTAATTACTTATGTTGATGAAGGTAATTTGGTTTTATCAACTAGTACTGAGTTGATAATGTAAATTGGCCACGGTAAAGAGTTTCTTCAGCGGACGTTTCGAGCGATAGCTCTTTGTCAAGGTGAGGTGATGACGAATATTAAAACTTCCAATTTGGAGTTTCATCCCTTTGTCGAAGAAAAAATTGAAGGCAATTTCGCGTCAACGAGCGTGAAGGGGCTAATTCACATCACTTTAACGTTCCTTGCATTCTCTGTTGGTTGCCAAAGTAACTTAATATTGATTACCCTGCAGAATTCAAGAACTCTTCTGTTTCATAGGCGCCAGATACAACAACGTAATGACATAAGAGAATGGATAGACCGATCACAGACAAACAATTCCGATTTCATAAACCTGAGAACAAAACATTTGATTCTCCGCTTTCAAGTGATGGAGGCATTCATGATTGGCCGAAAATCACTTTACTGTTAATTCATAAGGATCCAGCCAAGTTTGATATTCCACTTGCGAGCGCGTTGTTTCACCACCTACGTCAAAAAGGAGAAATATGTAGGTATGACAACAATAATTTGGTGATTTATTAAGTAAAATCTATCCCTTATAAACATCTTTTTGTTCACACCTCATAATCAATCAGACCTGTTATTTCGAGGTGATAGGTTTACCAACAAAGACTTCCGCTCTAAAATTAATTTCCTTTAAGGTAATTGCTCAATCAGGAGTTATGAAAGCAATTTCTAATGAAAAATACACATTCGTATTTGAATAATGCTTGTGTTCAGACGTAAAATAACTCTAGTCGTCTGTTTGTGTAATCAAGTTGTCTCTAGAACATTGTCGATAATAACATCAACAATAATAGAAATAAAGTGATGCCCCAGAAATCCATACGAATCAGTCATATTGCACTCCTTCAGGATTAATCCATCTGATTGTTTATTAATTGTAGTAAAACATGTCCATGAAACACCTGTGACATCTAAACCCTCCGATTGATGAAGCACGATTTACCCTAAGCTATGCTAATTAAAAGTCTCAGGGCGGCATTATTTGGGCACGATTATAAAGAACTTGTAAGAACAAATAAACAGATATAGAAATACAAACAAATAGCGGCAGATTAATTAGTAACTCGTACACCTTTAATTGGAAAAGCAAATGACACAGTTTGGTGAATCATTTTCTCGGCGAATTTGATCAAGGGGTTGACGGTTTTGCAACTTTTTTTCATCCAAGATACGAGACGCATAATTGACTGAGCCAAAGGATTATTTTTACCCTCGTATTCACAGCGGGGCGTTTATAATGACTATACCTACCCCATTAGTCTAAAAATAGTCGTTGTTACCAGTTTGGGCGCTCAACCCAGAATGCTGCGTCTCAGCTGATAAGACTAACGCAAGGTATGTTCAGTCGGGAACACATTGTGAGTGAGAAAGTTAATCGAAAGGTAGTAGTAGTAGCCATTGCTTAAAACTAATACTCCGCAACACTGCTAGGTAAACAGTGTGTTTTGATATTACACATCATACGCTTATGTAACCTATCTGGCTTCCGTTCGTTTGGAGGAAATTTGGTAAGAGAATCTTGATATTTGTTCATAACCTCTTTGTAATTCTTCCTAACCCGTTCCTTAACGATAACAAGCATAGTGGGCCAGTGCGATACTCTCAATTTTTCTATGATAAATAATTCGTTCATTCGAGACTGTATTTATTCCGAATTGCTTTTGTCTCCTTCACTAATTGGCCATTTTACGGATGTCGTATAAGTTCAACTCCTTGCAAACAACGAGAGTTCATTTATCCGTGCGTATTCAGGCGCACATGGCTAACTCAGAGAGAAGGATACCTGGATCTACTGACATTTGCATCTTCTCAGACTACGTAAAAAAATTAATTCTGATTTACAATGAGATAAACTCAGAGGTTACATGTTCTGAGCACTTCGATGCAAGAACGAATTTGTAAGGCCTTCCAGCGATAAGTAAAGGGCGAATTATTTTCTTTCCACCGGATACAAAATTGCTTTGCCTTCTTAAGTTCCTGAGAAGTGTTGAGCATATGTTTAGTTTCATTTGTGAGAACATCGTCATGTCAAAATGCTACCGTTTGAAGTGCGTGTTTATCGCTGCACTTTTCAAAACAGTCTAAATATTTAAGTCGATCAAATTATTCCATAATTCCACTAACGTTGGTCTAAATGGTCAAATTGTAATAACAAAGAGCAAGATGGATTAGAAGTCCTTTAACTCTAAAAGGAGTAAATAAACTTGATTTCCGGTGAAGAAAACAGAATGCATGCAATAGAATCTAGTCGTGTGTTGGTTAGGCCAATATGTAACTCCCAGGCAATTATCTGATACGAAAGCAGGCATCAGAAGAAAGTATGGAAAGTATAATAAGAGGTATTGCCGCTTAAAAACTTCAGTGGCCGTAAATTTTGCTTTAAATCAGTTGATTACTTTACCGTGACTAGATCTTGGGAAATGTTACCCCCTGCGGTTGTTTCCTTGAAGGGTATCAATGCTGACCGCCAAAAAGAAATTTAACGTTTTGAATTTAAAACACCAGTGTAATTTTAACAAATACATATAAGTAGCTCTCAACATGGAAAAATTTCTGACTGCTGTTGCCATTCGTTAATCCGTTTTGAAATGAAGGAAACAATTGTTATATTTAATGCTTAAATGCGAATGAATAAATTCCACTCTCAAGTTGTCAAAACAGATTTAAAATAACGACAGTACTGAATCGGCCAGACTTAAGGCTAAGAAAGAATTATAAATTGTTTACACCGAACCATTTCCTAGTTGATGTCAAATCTTGCAACGGAATGGTTCGGTTAGAAACCGGTTTATTTCTTGTGATGGACTTGATATCTCGCATAGACAATGTCGCCCGGCCTGCATAGCGTAATATTATGTGTTAAATGATAAAATTACAATTATAGTTAATCTGCAATATCGTAAGGGTTTC